ACTTGTGTCTGGCCCACTTGAAGGGTAACCCATGGGTCTCCTCTACCAACAACTAGAGGGGAAAGAAGCTACGGGCTTTCTACAACTCTTCCCAGGCTGTTCAGAAGAGGACAGAATTTAACACCCCTCAGACCCAAGACAAAATACCAGGTTACCAGGTCTGCTGGTTCAATTTTAACAGAGCTAGAGGACAAACTAGATTTAAAAATAAAAATAATAAAAAACCCACATAGCTGCATGACTTAACGCTTATTTTCACAGACCACCCTAAATTTCTGGCATTTAGCACACAGTAAGCTTATCTGCTTTTCAACAGCAGGCAAAAACACACAGGATCATAACACATTTTGGATGACAAAAATCAGAAATACAGATCAAATTCCTAAAATATAGGTCTTCCAGTTTTGTTTTGGGTTTTTTTTTTTTTTTTTAATAGAGTCTGTCATGACCTAACACGTTGTGGGACAAGTCTATGTGACTACACAAGACCTCTCATATTCAGGGATTAGGAGCAGGCACCAGGAATTTCCTACACATACAATGATATCAGAGAATTGACTCTTCCTAGGTATCAGCATTTTTTCTGACAAAAATTTAAAAATAATGTATTTTGGAAGGTTAGAAACACTAATTTGCATACATAAAAAGCCTCATCTTTCCATAGTTTTCTCCAAGGCTGTGATTTGGCTATCAGTGTGAAGAGTGCCTTTCTTCTCCAACACTTGCTGCAGGTTAATGAACGCAAAACTTAAAACATTGCCCAGCCAAGCAACTCTCACAAGTTTTTTTTGTTATTTTTGTTGTTTTACAAGGAACTGCTGATGCAAAACTAAAAAGGAAGAGTTTACTGGACTGACAAAGAGTAATCAAGCCAGGTTTTGGTAATTTTGGGAACACTGTTTGGTAACTTAATAGACCTGCTAAAGAGTTGCCATTGTGTCCAGTCTCACACACATGGTCCTCATTTAGGGACACTCAGGTTAATGGCAGGCTATCAACTTAAACTGTCTTTGCATCAAGCCACCAATTAGTGGCCTATCCCAATCCATTCCTTACAAACTCAGTACATTAGCAGGGAGAAGTGGAAAGGACAGCCTCTCGAATCTGCATTAAAGGGGACCAAACGGATACAAACACATAACTAAACAGATACATTCAGAAGGTTTTTTTTGCATGTAGGTCTAGTCTGAGGAATGCCTGAGTCCACACAAGATCTGTGCCCAAACCTGTCCACACACATTTGTGTGCACTAATTTTTCATGAGGAAGAATCTTACAGGCAAGAGAAGTGTCGTATTTTGACAGCTTAGCTCTTGAACTGTACCTCTTACTTTGTTAGACATCCATGTTATCTTAGCCTTCTGACCTGACACTCTGCATACGCCTGTACACAGCCACATGCAAAAACAATGCTACTGGTGCAACGACGAGGCTACAAAAATCGGGGATGATAGGCCACATCGGAAAATACTGTCTCAGATATATTCTTCATTAACATCTAAGAAGTTATTTGCCAAGTTTTTAAAAAGGGGTTTACTTTAGGGTACCACACCCAAGACTAAAAAATTTCAGTCACAGGAAAAACTGAACTTGAGATCAAACCTACTGGGAACCACAGGAAAAACTGCACTATTATTGCCTATGGCAGACATCTGAATATTGTGACTGGATTTTAATGGAGTTACTGTAATAAATAAAGGGCTTGAAAAAAAGCAGAACAAAGCAAAATTTCAGTATAAATCACAAACGCTGCTATTAACCATAGCAGCAACACAGAAAATTTTAATTTAATTAAAATCTGCAAAAAAGCCTGATGAATAAGCATAGAGCATATCTCTGACCTTTGCCTTCTCCTTCTACGATTCCTAAGACAGAAATGGCTTTATCTTCACAAGTTGGCTTTGGAGGAGAAAAGAATGGGAAGTTCTGTTTTAAACAAGAGGTAATTACAACAGGTATGACACAGAATATTTTGTGGCTTAACTCACTGACTTACATATCAGGTTACTTTTCCAACATGTTTATTTTCACCAATAGCCTGACCAAGTTATTTGACTTTATCAGCAGCTTACACGACTTACTGTCGTAAGATACTATGATATATCAGATTAGTTCACTTATTTCATCTGCAGCTTTCATTCATAACTGATTGACCTGTAGAAAGCAAGCCTGCCCTAACACCAGACTTCAGCTATCTTTTAATCAAAGCACAACGTTCCTATGTTAATCCATGACAGTATTTTCTTACAAATTATAGGTAACAGTCATATTAGCTGTTTCATTTATGCAGCCCAGTTACTCACATATTTTTTACAGCATAATCAACAGAAATATTGCAGAATTATACCAGATCAAGCTTGTTACATCAGAATTAATAATCTACACCCTAGTATTTCCAACACTTCACAAAGCCACACCTCAAAAGCAAACAGAACTTAACCATCCTTGAACAGCAACTAATTTATACTTTTAAAAAGGGGGC